AGGCCTTCTCCTCCTTCTGCAGGTTTCTGTGGGCTGCTGCAGACCTCAAGAAGCCTCTGGGATGCAGCAGTGAGGGAGAATAGGCAGCAGAAGTTGAAGGAGGACAAGACAAATAAAGCAAAGGGGACTGAGAGCCATACTGGACAGATCTCCACAGCTTCTCCCTTGCTCCTGTACTGCCACCTCCTGGAAAACAGTAGGATGGCTGAGAATATACACAATTTTGGAGGTAGACAAGAGGGAAAGGCTCTCGAGTCCAGATCAGATGTCTGGTACCTGCTATACTGCATGAAGACCAGGTTCCAGATCTCCACTACGTCGGGGCTGCCCTGGTTCACCAGTGCTGCAGCATTTCTGCCACCACCCACATGGTCATAGTGGATCTCTGTGCAGGGACCACAAGGACCCGTGTCCCCCATCTCCCAGAAGTTGTCCTTCAATGGAAAGGGAAGCACACGACTGTCAGGCACCCTGGAAAGGCAAACAACAAAGTGCTGGGGCACGCACACAAAGCACACAGTAGCCTAGACCACAGAGAAAGTTGGAAAGGAGGAACTCTTTCTGACTACCACAAACTCAGTAACCAGACAGACTAGGATTCCTGCTTCTGTTCACACAGAATTGCTCTCCTTAGCAGGAACAAGCTGGATTAAACCAAACAGGATCCTGCTCACTCCCAAAATGGCTGGCAAACTCAGTCTGGCTCCTGCTGACGGGAGACAGGGTCTACCCTGGGCCTGTGAAGCCACCTTCCTCCTTGGAGGTAATTCCAGCAGAGCTAAGACCTGATCACACTGGGCAAAGCTGAACACCCACAGTGGCACAGAGGTGTCTGCCTGGGGCCCAAAACCCATGTGCAGCTTGGAACAAGCTTCCAAAGCAGAGCAGTGCTCTCCGCAGTGGCTTCATCCTCACCCTGAAGCAGCCATTGCTACCTTTCAGAGGTAAATGAGCTGTCTGCAGCTCACAATGGAGAGGAAGCAAAGGATCAGAGATCTTTCTCACACTTCATCCAGGCCAGTCAGTTTTAGATACACAGCCCCTCTGATGACCTTTAAGCTGCTTCTCAGATGTTAAGTGCTCCAGAGCACTCAGAGCCCAGCTGATTTTTACCAGCCCAAACAAACCAGAAATGAAATTAATTTAAAATATCACTTTTAGCCCCAGCATCTGATTCCCATCAACTAAAGAGAAAACAGGAGACTATGGAGAATGACATGTCAGCACATGGGGCTCAGGGCTTCTTCTCTAACACACTTACCCCAGGCGGAGCCATATGTCCCTGCACTCCTCATCTGCGCTCAGCCCCAAGGAGGAGTCTCCCCCAAAATACGTGACATAGAGACGATCTCTGGGGATCTCGTAGACCTCTGTCAAGAGCTCCCAGGCCATGCTACATGCCTCCTCCTGAGCGGGCAGGGAACATAAACAAAGCACAGTAATCCAGGATGCATAGTGATGCAGGAAGGCTCTTCAGAATGGGAATTAAACACCAAAGAAATTCACAGATTCACAGAGTGGAAGGGACCTCTAGAGATCAGCTAGTCCAAGCCCCCTGGCCAGAGCAGGATCACCTAGAGCAGATCACTCAGGAACAAGTCCGGAGGCTTTTGAAAGTCTCCAGGGAAGGAGACTCCACCACCTCTCTGGGCAGCCTGTTCCTGTGCTCTGTCACCCTCACAGGGAAGTGTTTCCTCATGTTCAGGTTGAGCCTTCTGTTTTCCAGTTTATGGCCATTGCCCCTAGTCCTGTCACTGGACACCACTGAGAAGAGGTGAATTCATTTCAGCTGCTCTCTCCCTTCCCAATTTCAAGGCACATTGCAAAGAGCAGGATGAGGGTCAGGCAAGCGAGACAGCTCATTGCTGCCTGTGGAAAACTAGCATTCCTAAATTGTGGAAAGACCTTCAGGATCACAGCATGGTCTACACCCACGTGCTCACCAGCAGCTACCTGGATTATTTTCTTTCTGATGAAAAAACGTATTCACTAGCCAAACAAGTAGCATTTTTATCTTTCTTCCTTTTTCAAGCTTTGTAGTAACGAGTACCAAACAAACTGGAAACTTCTTTTCACTGTAGTAAATGGCCAGCACAGGCATTCAGAGAGAGGAATTCACAGAGAACTTTGATTAGCACGTGTTGTCCACAGCTTTGAAAGGCTGAGTGGGCTGACAGTCCGCAAGGCACATAGAGTGTGACTCAGCACGCCAACTGACCACCTCTGCTCCGTGCCACAGAGCTCCCAAGAAGTAATTTGGAGCCTCCCAAAACGCCTTCTGGAGACATTCCCAGGGCAGTACAGCACCGCTCTGACAGAAAGGCAGCATTTCCCCCTGGAGAGGGTTCGCTCCCATCGCCTCACCTTAAAGTAATCCCCGAAGGACCAGTTCCCCAGCATCTCGAAGAAAGTGTGATGGTAGGTATCTCGGCCCACGTCCTCCAAGTCGTTGTGCTTCCCTCCCGCACGCACGCACTTCTGGCTGTTCG